CTCCCTCAGGAAACTAGGCCATGGCAGGACGGTGGTCTGTTACAAATGGCGGGTGCCTGGGTGGGAATCTGCTGCTAATTCCGGAGAGATTTCTATTGGGAAAGGAGCTTTCCCGGCTTGGCCACATTCTCTCCCACGATCCCGGCTCTCCCTTTCCTGCTGGCTGACCTTTAGGGTCTCTTCGCAGGTGGAGGTGGTGGCAGAGGGATGTGTCCTTCGGGCAGGTTCCCGGGAGGCAAGGGGGCAAGGGGATGGGGGCGGCGTGCCCTCCCGCCGCTTGCATTCCAGTGCTTGGCACCCCTGGGTCGAGCCCCGTTGGGCGCTTGGGCTCTGGCCTGACAAAGGGCTGTGATCACCAGCAAGCACGCGGCTGTCATGATGGAGATGGAAATTGGTGATTCAGGGTTCAGTGACCTGTCTCGTTAGGGTTGGTCCTGCCTGCTCCTTTCGTCATGCATGCCTGATCAGGCAGGCTGTCACTCAGCCACGGCAAATAAGCGTGTGCAGAGGGAATGTTGTCTCATGGTTACAGGAGGGAGCCAGGAGCTAGGCTGAGCCAACTTGCTGCTTAAAGCTTCCTGTCTGCGTGCTGGTGGCCTCGGCGCAGAGAATTGCCTTCCTGTGCCTCAGTTTGCCTATGGATGGAAAGCGGGAGAGGGATAAGAGGCTTAGCAGCAAGCGTGGGATAGGAGCTGTACGTCTAACTGGAAGCACATTGCTCGACTGCTGCCGTCCACTGATCTCCAGGCACGTCTGTCCTGCCATGTCCCAGCCTAGAAGCTGAGGCAGAAGGAGATAAGGAGACACCCCAGAGGAATCCCCCTCTGGATCTTCCTGACGTTCCCCCAGTGATCCCTGGTGGGGTGACACAAAGAGGCAGGATATCAGGAGCAGCCCAATGACTTACAACAAAACCATGTTTCAGACCGTATTTCTCTCCTACCTCTTTGTTCATTCACAAGATTTCCTTTATTGTTGTCTGCTTATGCACAAGCCCAGACCACAAGCCCACCTAAAAACACCCACTGATAAAACTGAAGGAAAATGAAAATCCTTGCAGCCTGCCAATGATCTCACCAGAGCCAAAGGTGGAAAAAAGACTGGCTTTCAAGTCTTTTACTTTACTTTCTGCACCCTGTCCACCATTCACCTCCTCTCCCCAGAAAGATCAGGCCCCGTCCCTCTCAGGCCAGGACTCCGTGGGGCCAGAGCAGGCTCTTCTTGGTGCCAAGGGCTCAGCTGAAAGAATGGAGCCTGCCAGGGAGACTGCAGGCTGCGAGTCTTGGTACTGCCAGCCTAGCTGCTCGTGTTTCTATTCTCTGCATTGGTAACCACCAACTTCTTGTTTTGTTTTCCCTTTTTCCTTTCTTGAAAATGTCCATTGCTGCCTCTCCAAGGAGTTCTCCTCCGCTTCCAGCACCACCACGATCGGCACCGTCGCCTCCCGGGTGACCAGGAATGGGAATGCTGTCATGGAGAATGGCTTCCTCAATCATGAGGACTTGGCAGGAGACCGGGGCATGATAGACGATATGTTTGATGAGACCTACCGGGAGAAAGAGGGCCCCAAGCCCCCCATGCGATACGTCTGGAGGAATATCATCCTCATGAGCCTGCTGCATCTAGGGGCCATAATCGGGCTGGTGCTGATACCTTCTGCAAAGATCCAGACATTGGCATGGGGTAAGCACGTTCCTCCGTTTGTTTCTTGGCATCTGCAAACTCCAAATCTGTTGGGTGGGGTTTTTTTCCCTCCAGGCCCACAGACTCAGGGAGGACAAAGAAGGAAGTCGAGGTCTTCTGTTAGAAGCAGCTACTCAGCCAGCTTCGTAGCAAGCTGTGGGAGGGCTTGCTAGTGTCTCTTGTGAGGTGATGCATGAGAGGGGAGGATTTGGCAGGGGACTGCCTGGCTGCTTGAAGAGCAAACTTGATTCACAGGTGTTAGGCTTGGAAATAGCCCACACCTGAGTGTGCATCCACTTCTGGGGTGAAGCACAGGAAATGTTTGATGGAGTACTGTGACAGTCCCAGAAAGTTAGGAAGAAAGATGCTAGCAAGAACACTTTGAGGGGTGGCTGGGGAGGCAAGGTACAGGGCATTATTTGGCATGAGGCTGCCACCCAAAGACAAGAACCGTTCCTGCCCTTACCAGGGGAGGGTAAGTCCCGCAGAGTCTCCATGTGTGTGTGAGTGGAAAGAGACAAAATACAGTTGTGCCTAAGATAAAAGTCAAGAGTTAAGTCTGAAGCTCAGGTCTTTTATCATTCTTACAAAAGTACAGATTAGCCCCCATCATCCCGGAACTAAGCCTGACAACTTTCAAAAAACAAATAAGCGCCTCTCCAGGCAGCAAATTCCAGTGGAAAGCACAACCCAGCAGAAGGTAGCTAGGCGAAGCTCCCTTTCTCAGAGACCTTGCCCTGGGTAGGAACCAAACTTCTACTTTGACTGCTTGAAAGGCAGCTGGGCCCGGGTCCCAAGCTGCAGGGGAGCCTCGCTTTCCATGAGCCTTTGTGTGGACCCCTGGAGGAGTCAAGAAGCCAAATGGCCCCCAGGGAGGAGGTCGAGAGATTGCATCCAGCCCCTGCCTTCCTATGAAACAGGGCATCCTGAAACAAAAAACAACAGTCTAATTTGAGACCTGCTGGCAAGGCTTTTGGTTTCAGCGGTGCTCCTGGAACATGCTCAGGCCGGGGCAGCGTCCTGGCGTGATCCACCTGGTCTATCATGCTCTCAGAGTTTGTCCTTCTAATGTTTGTGAGCAACAAGCATCACAGCTGGACCAGGAAAGAGAGGGCTCCCTGGATGGCCAGGCTGACTCTTTTCTGCCTAGACCATCTCAGCCTCTCACAGGCAGAAGCCTGGGGGATGAGCATCACTGGAAGCCACAAGACTTGGTCAGAGGCTGGCTACAGCATCTGCAAAAGCAGAGTCACTGTCATGTTCCTTGTGCAGCCAGTATGGCCTTTGCGGGGGCATTATGAAAGAAGACTTTGCTGGGCCTATCCCATGTGAAAACCTGACCGACTGTGCTTTTCCCTGGGGTGGCAGGGCTGGGCAGAACACGCAGCCTCAGCACAACCTTGGAGGAGTGTTTCAGGGCTCTCGGTCCCGCTCAGTGTGTCCCATCCCCAGGCTCTCCGCTGCAGGCTAGGCAGGGGCTGCTGGCTTCTCTCACTCACTGAGCTGACAGACTGAGTCCTCCAACCCCAGCCAAATATCTTCAGGGCATTGAGGCAAGGAGGAGGGAAAAGGTGAGTTGGGTTCACTGGTTTCATTTCAAGCTGCTGAGGTGCACTGTGATTTCCAAATCCACCCAACTCTTCTCCCTTTAGTTCCCCTGAGATACTTAAGTGGGCTCAAGCATCTTGATCCAGAAGGTTAATGCTGCTTTGCATTCTGCTTAGCCCGACCTTACCCCAAAATGGTCTCTGAGGCAGTGTCTTTGCAACTGCGTGCCTGTCTGGGATGTCTGTATGGCATCCCATGACATTTCATGGGAATCTGCCTTGCTTTTTACCTGGCGCCAGTCCCACCTGCTCTCCTCCCTCCACCAACTCTGATATGAAGTGCCAGTTGCTCTCCTGCCACTGTGAGGCACTGCGAGATTCCTTGGTGGCTTCTGGAGGGACAGATGCTCTGGGAATGGGAGAAGGACATGGAGTTTGGGGGACCTGCACTGTTCTGGACTGGCAGAAGATCCATCCTGCCTTACCAAAGCTGGAGTAGCTCCACAGAGCTCCCTGTCCTGCATCTCTGGCACTTATTCTGGGAAAGGACCACCCTTTCCTGCAGCCAAGTCAGAGCTTTCCCCTATAGTCCATTCTCCTCCAGTGCTGACTGGTGCTGGGATACGCTGATCCTCCACAGGTCTGGCTTCTCAGCAAGGCTCCTTGCTCCTTCTTGCATTGCCCTTTTCTCAGTTCATACCTTTCTTTAGCACATACAAGGCATCTGTGGCTGTCATCTCAGTGACTTGCTATTATTTTCCCAGAATGCCCTGGTAGCAAGGAGAGGACTACAGTTCCCATTTTACATGCAAGGACAGAGCAGCAGAGACTTATGTTGCTCCTGGCAATACACCATGGGTTTATGGCAGAGCAGCTCTCCCAGTGGTAGTTCTGGAGCTGCTGGGATGTTTGCTTGTTTCTTCTTTCTTTGTTTTTCAGGTCATTCCTTCCTTAGGCTGTGTACATGTAATGTAAAATTAACATGGCCCCAGATGTTCTCTGCTGTGAGGCTATAGGCAGCTGTGGTGCCTGGTAGCTGATCTAACGTCTATATTTTATTATAAGGAGCAATCCCCTGCTTATACCCTCTTCATCCAGGCCACCGTCTCCTTGATGTTCCTGTCCCTCTGAAACCAGTTAGAGTGGTGACTGTGTCCTCTTTTGTTTTCATTTCTCTGTGTGCTAATTCCTCTTTGTCTCTCAAGCTGTCCAGCCCTGCCTTCATTGTTTGCTGTTCTGCGTTGCTGTGTGCATTGCACCCCCTGATCTCTTTCTGGTACAGAGGTTCCCAGAACGAGCTGGGGTTGTTGATCAGGTGAGAGCTCACTATAACGAGAGCTCTCCGAGCCCTTCCAGCACTGGCTTTCTAGCAGGCTCCCCTTTTATTTACTGTCTTCTCCGCTGCACTTGATGAAGTCTTGAGCAGTCTTTTCAGGGATCATGGGCGGATTTCACATCATTTGCCAAAGGGCACAGAGACGGAGTCTGGAAGGGCAGGATGCAAAGGTGATTGACAGTTTCTTCTCTAACTGCTCTGAACCTCCCTGGCAACATGACTTGCAGGTTGTCTTCCTGGCCCTCGGGTGCAGCAGACTGACGATATTTGTGTTAACCCTTGTTGGCCTGGCCAACAATGTCTATAAAATAGTGATGGTTCCTCTCAACGTGGTGCTCTGACAACACCTCAGTTCCCTGCAGTGCCAGCAGTGCTGGAAACATGGCTCGATACCATTTTTTGTTGCTGCTGCATCATCTTTGGACCAAGGAGAATCTTGCTGGATAACAGCCTGAAAATCTCAGCCAGTACTACCCCCAGGGAAGTGTCCAGCAAAATGTTTACTGAAGTTTTTTGTTACTCTCCCATCAAGACTACTGCTGGCAACACCTCCCCACTTAGTGTCTTCTCCAGGCTTAACTAGCAGGTGGCGTGCTTCTCCTCCGAGCATGGAAGGGAAGCTCTGATTTTGCCAGGTGGGGAAGTTAGGTTTTAGCAAGAGTAGCTCCTGTTGCTCCTCCTAAACACTGTTCCCCTTATGCAGCCTGCACATGTTTCCTTGCTCTTGGTATCTTTCTCCTGAGAGTAGCAGGACTCCCCTGGCTAGCAGGGACTGGGAGGCAAGGAGGGAACAGTCTAAAGCTGTAGTTTTCCCTTGCACTGAGCAGAAGCCCAAGGACACCTGCTGGTGCAGGGACATCTCTTCATGTAAACATCCTTGGTGTTGACTGCAGGTGACAATGCCTTTAGCACATGCTGGGCTTCCCATTATAACTTGAGGTCTGAATCTGGGCCCTTAAAGAGGTAAAGGCTAGTGAGTCATATAGACATGACTGAATCCGGAATGTTTTGGCTTTAGTTTTTGGAGCATTGAGTGCATATTACTGCCAGTGATAATAATTCTTTGTATTCCAGTTGAATGGGTCATTGGGAACATCACCTGCGAGTTGGTAATCTTTTGGATCTTGGATACTTCAAAGCATGGTGTGGAAGATGACTTTGAAACCTCAGCTGATGGAGTCCCTAAGTCTTTCAGTTTAGGGCAGCATCACAGGGCAGCTGTGAAAATCTCTGCTACTTTATTTCACTTTTCTCTTTCCAATTTCATTCCTAGTGAATGATCTTGGAGGAGCTTTTCTTCTTCACTGTGAGATGCTGATTCTCTGGCTATGCAATGATCATCATTGTACCTGTTTGCAGGGCTGAACCATCTGAATCATTAGGGTGCTGGATTCTTCTGTTTTCCGCCAGGCTTTTCAATCTTATTGTCTATATCCTGTCACTGTCACAACTCTTAGGTACAGCTGATGGAGCTCATAGTCCCCAAGTAGGGTTTGGGTTTCTGTGCGGCTGGGTGCCATGTATGCATAGACTGAGAATCAGCTCCTCTCCTGCAGAAAGTGTGCTCCTTAGATAAACTACAGCTGCTGTATATGGGCAAGAGGCAAGGCAGTATGGGATTATAATTAGAGAGTTGTGGCCATTGTAGTGACCTGGGATGCAGCTCCAAGAGAAGTCAACACGAGCTGCTGAGGCTCATGGATGAAGGCCATGACTCTTCTATGCCAGGGCACCCAAAAGCAGTGGGTACAAGCAGTGGATACTCTTCCAAATTTTTAACAAAAGCTTTCAGACGAGGCTACCTGAAAGCAAGTACTAGGTTGTCTGGTTTCTGAGTCGGTTGGTGTCCCCACTGCATCTCTTTTGTGATTCTTTGTGCTTGCTGCTGTCTTTGTTGCTGGTGTTATCGTTTCCCGAGGGGGGATATCCACGGGCAAATTCTGGGAATTGCCTGTATAAAAGAAATACAGATGAGCTTCCTTTTTTGCAAAGCTTAAATACCACAGTCCTCAGCCAGAGTCATCTTCCCGGAGGCCTCTTTTACCAAAAAATTCCCAGTCAGCGTGTGAGAGGATTCACCAGAGAGAGAAGCCTGAACTCAGGGCTATAAATAGGGCCTGTTCTCACCTAACCTGGCATCTACTTTCTAGTGCTATTGAAGATCATGAAAGATTGCATAGTTCATTTCTGTCCCCAGTGCACCATTAACTCACGCCTACTTGCTCTGCAGTGGAGAGCTGGGCTCTTTCTCTAGAAGTTGCCCCACACATCCATTGCAAGCTGCTGCTGTTTATGAAAAACACCAGACAGGGAGTCCATGATAGAGTCTGTACAAGTTGGAGGTTAAATGCAGGCACTTGGATGCTGCTCTCAGCTCTCCCATAAACTGCTTGGCACCCTTGGAAATCTACCTCAGCTGCTGAGGCGTGTACCATAGGTATAAAGTTGCCCAGAGGTTTTATGAAATGTGGTTTGCAGAGTACAGCTGCTTGTGTTCAAGGGAGAATGGTGGTGAGTCACACTTCTGCCGCTAGTAGGAAGTGTCTGAAACATCCAGGAGTGGGTTTCGTTGTTATTGCAGTGTCTGAGGCAGGGGAGGTTCTGTAAATCAGAGTCATGTGTTAGGCACTTTTGCAAGCCTAGTAGTCTTCTGTATGAATATGTGGGGATAAATCTGACTGATTTAAAATGAGTCTTAAAATCTAAAACCAATGGGGAACTGGTCATAAGCTGGTCCATAACTTTCAAGTCAGCTTCTTAGGAGCTGAGTGAGGCCTTCAAGGTGTCCAGCATAAGTACTTTCCTGTCAGTAAGGCCAAAGGGAGACCTGAACCAAACGCCCTGCTCCAGCATGCCTCCTTTATCCCCTTCCAAGCTTGGCCAGCTTTGTGAGTTTTGCTCAGCACCATTGTCTCTTGCAAAGGCTGGATCCTGCTGCGTTTGCAAGCATTTTCATCCCTCTTCATGCCCTATAAATCAGCTATGACCAGTGACTGCTTGGCTTCTCTGAGAGACTGCAGAGGTGCTGGGAGACACAAGGCAGAGGTGTGCTGGTCTGAGCAGCAGGCAGGTGGGGAAGCCAAGGGAGAAGATGAAGATGGGAAGTCACGGTCAGGTCGGCAGACAGGGAAGGTTGATGTTAAACAGCGGATGGGAGTGAGGAGGGTTCATGCAAGTTTAAGGGGCCGGAAGAGGATGTTAAATCAGCCGAGAAAGACTTTTAGTGGATAAGAGATTAGGTTTGGAATGTAGAAAAACAAAAAGGAGGTGACAGAAGGAAGAGGGAGCGGGACATGATAGGAAATAAAGCCTGGATTATTTTGAATGAAAGAACAGGGCAACAGTGCCTTGCGCATGTCTCAGATCTCTGATTCCAGACAAGTTTCTGGCAGAGTATCTCTTTTCTGGGTTCAAGATAAGCTTGATTAGAGCCATTTGGCTGGACTGAATGGTACTGTCAAGCATACCAGCAATTCCTATCCACGGTTTTACATGTAAGAATAAGGAGCTGTTTTCATGATTTATCCAATTGGCTGAAATCTGCAAATTTATATCAAGGAAAGAGTTTCCCCTGGGGGACTGGTAAGAAGGCATCCCTTCCACCAGGGGACTGAAGGTGGATCAATTGACCTATGCACAGATGTGCACCCATCCCTCTCAGTATCTGAGCTTGCAGGGCCAACCAACTGTTGAGTACCCTCCGTCTTTCTGCCAAACTTCCTGAACCTTCCTTCCTAAAGAAAGAGCTAATTTTCAGATCCAATTTTCTTCTTATCCCCAGCTTCAGAGTCTAATGCTGCTATGACCCTATTGGGGTTTTTTCTCCATTTTAGTTCTAGGATCAGATGCTGGCACCTAGGTTAAATTCCAGAGGTCCCAGGAAGACATTCAGGAATACACAGACCAGGACAGACATAAACACATGATCCAGAGGGAGAGTGATGTGTTCTTACTAGCTGCCAGAGGGGCAAGGAATTCCTTCTGACCTGTGTGGAGACCTGCGTGGAGAGGGAATGCATGAAGCAGCCTCGAAGCTCAACTGCGCCCAGCAATGGCTGCCTCTGCCACGGGCACGACTTGTGATGAGTTGTTGGCCTTGGAGTTTCCTTCGTCAATGGTGCAGGAGCTGAGCAGAGGGGTGGATCAAAAAGATCCTGGGAATGGGAGTCTCTGGGCAGATTTTAAGTCAGTGGTGGAGCTGAAGGCAAAGCCCAGGCTTCAGTGGGATGGTAGGTTACATCTTTTTCTGGCCAGCTTCTGGTCAGAAAGGGGCTTGAGCTGTCTCCCTGAAGAAGTGTTAAGATCTCTACCACCTCTAGGTGAAAAGAATGCAAAAAAGATGTAGTGAGGAGTGGTGAGTTAGGAAAGTAAGACCCTTGATTTCTCAGGGTGGGAGGAAAGGGGGAAGATGTTCCTGGTAGACTGCAGAGCTGTTAGCACAGGGCTATATGGAAGCAGTTGCTTCATACAATTTTGACGATCCCGCACCATGACAGATGGCAGTATGCTGAAGAACCAACCTTTGTGAAAAGTCTTGTAAGGGGAAGCCTTCTCCCTTGTCAGAGATGAAGAGCTGAAGTGATTTGCCCCATGTTGCTTAGGAAGCCTGTGGTAGCTTGGGCACTCTCACATTTATTTTTGTTGCCCTAATCTGTGCTCTCCATGGGTTCCTCTCTTGCTTATACAGCTTTGGGGGAAAGCCTGCCTTTGTGTTGCTCTGCCTGAAGCTGCTGCAGGCTGAATTGCTGTGACTGCTCAAACACTTTCTCTTCCTCTCCAGCTGTTCTGTGTTTCCTGATGAGTGCTCTGGGGATAACAGCTGGAGCTCACCGCCTCTGGAGCCATCGGTCCTACAAAGCCACACTGCCCCTGCGGCTCTTCTTGACTATTGTAAACTCCATGGCCTTCCAGGTAAGCACCTCTGCAATGTGCCACTGGTCCTCAGAAGGAAGTGTTCCCCTGAATCCCTGTCTCGTATGGGGCACAAGCTGACAGTGAGGTTCCTCTCTCCTACTACCTCTTAGTAGGAAACCACCTGCCCTTTCCATCTGACACTGCAGTGCTAGAGTCCATCTCATTGTTTTGACCTTGTTCTGTCAGAGGGTGACTCTGAGATGAACTGGGTGGGGAGAGGACTGTTGGCCAAGACCAGGGGGTAGGAAAGCTTTAATGTGCCCTTCCCTCGAGGTGTGGTCTCCCTGTGCTTGCTCCAGGTCCTGTGAAAGAGGTGTGGAAGTGCTAAGTGCTCTCCTAGTGTTGCCTCACCTTCCTCTTGCTTCGTGGCTGGTAAGGGGGGATACATCTGCACAGCCCAGGGAGTAAGGCTGTGGAATTTGCTGCTGCAGAAAGACCAAGAACTTGTTGAGATTATGCACTTAGGGGGATGCTTCTCCGGTTCAGAAAAGTGATATTTAGGAATGACTCTGTTGTAAGTCACACCACTGGCTTCCAGAGAGTCATCCTAGGTCAGTGATGTTTCAAGGAGAGAAGGGTTGGGCCCAGAGTGGCACAAGTGACTGCAGGCAGCTGATAAGCACCTCAGGATATTGCCTAACCACTCAGGAGAACACTTCACAGTCCACAAAGCAAACCAACTGGAAGTCCTTAGGGACTGTAGAAAGTAGCAGAGATAGCCCTTTAGAAGAAGTCAGAGTGAAAACCCAGACTGGCATGGCACAGAAAAATCCTGGTGGTCTCTTGGGTTTGCTGCTTTGAGGCAGCTCTAATGGCATCGTCCAATTGTATTTGAAGGGACTTCATGCAGACTTGCTCGTGTGTAGGAGGTACTTGGGAGGGTGGCAGGGTGCAGCAATTTCTGCTAGAAGGTGAACAGCAAAGTATCCCTGCTGTGCCCCTAAGTAATTTGCCGGCTGAGGTATGGGGGAAGGGTAAAGGCCAAGTGGACCAGGTATTTTAGAGACATTATCTTCCTTCCCCCCTGTGTAGCCGTAGAGGATATCACTTCATTGACATCTAATCAGAATAGGGTGGGGATAGCTTTTTTTTTTTAGCCTTGAAAAATTTCCTAAAACATCATTGACTTTCCTGTTCTCTGTTAGTACCAAATCAGAGTCTCTTACGAGGAAGAGGAAGGACCAAGCTGCTGATTCCAGCTACTGGTCCAGCACTCAGCAAGGGAATGGGATGGGTTGCTCTGTATTGGCTAGCCCTGTACAAAGACCATCTTTCACAGGGTTATAGGGCAGAGGGGGAAAGAATTTGCTGAGCTGTTGCTGTAGGGGATAGGAATAGACAAAGATGAGAGACAGAGAGATATTTCAGGCTCAATAGGAACTAATCCAAAGTTTTATTGAAATTTCAGTACCATTCCCCATGGATTTTCTTTTTTTTTTTTAATTGTAACTCTCAATGAGATCAAGAGAAGGTTTATTTTCAATTTATCTCATTCCTGTTAGTGGCAGCAGCGCTAAGATGAGACTGGTAACTTTTAAAGCCAGAGAAAACTATAGATTAGCTTATCTGAAGTCCTCCAGAAAACGCCTGTTGGCTTCTCAGAGACCTGTGGTGTGTGATTTCAGAGGATTTGGGAATTCTGTCCCTAGTCGGCTCCTCTGCGTGCAAGACCAGGCAGCTGCAGCACAGCAGAAGCTCTCCTGGTTATAGCCTGTAGCTGGAAACTCCCAAGGAAGGGGGCATTCTCCTAGGCTTTACTTGCTGGTCTCAGAAAGCTGTGATTTTCAGACAGGGTTGCAGTTAGAGGTGGTCCCAAAATAAGATCTGTAGAAAAGATAAAGTGCTAAAGTTTGGGTCAAGATATTGACTTTTCAGCTTTGAGACCCCCGATTTGTGCGTGTGCACAGGGTGTGGTGGATGAGGTGGTACCACGCTCCAGCTGCAGTACATGGTCTCTTTCCAAATCTGTGCCTCCTGTCTCCAGCAGAAGGATTTCCAGGAGACAGGAAAAGCCTCCCTAGATGTGCAAACACAACCTGTCTGTCAGCTTTCAGGCTGGGCTTTCTCATGTTACATGATGCTGTGTAGGGTCTGGAATGTGAAAGAAACTTTGGGTCACAGGTGAAACATTTCTAGCATGGGTACTGGTTGTGTTTCTCTGCTGACTAGATAGGGAAGGCTGCTGGGCCACGCTCTTCTGGGGGAATGCTGAGTGACCAAGCTCTGGCTAACATCAGTGAGGGCTGGTGATACTTGGAGGTGCTCAGGATTTGGCTGGAATGAAGGCAGCAGTTCTCAGTATTTGGAAACCAGTGAGAGTTGAATCCTGGCCCATGTCTGTCATTGCCTTATTGCATGGCCTGCAGGTAAATCATTTTACCTCAGTTGAAGGAGGAGTGGTTACAGCACTTGAGAGGGACTTGAGGAGTTGTGTCTCTGCTGCAGGCTCCCTGTGTGGATAAGTCGCCTGGTCTTTCCAGGCAAGAAATAGGGAGGGTTATGCCACCTCCCTACCTTCAGAGTGTTTTGAGGAAAAGTCCTGTGTACTTGGGAGATTAAGGAGCCTCTTGTCTAATGCAGGCAATAGAGGCATGCTTGGATCTCTGTTTCATGTTTTCTAGGATGGTGTAATACATGGCCTTCAGCACATCGAAATTTTAGTATAAAGGAATGAGCACAGGCTCATTAAAATCTATTCTTAAAACTGGCCAAAATAATTATTTCTTAATAGAAATGATGAAAGCGTTGACATTTTCCAAACTATTGATGTTGCAGCTTAAACAGAACGGTTATAGGGCTGAAGGGGGGTATTTTTGGTAACTGTCATTGAAATAGTGCATTTATTCTATTTCTAAAGAGGGGATTTAATTTTAAGACTGTTTGATTTCCAATGAAAAAAAAAAAAAGAAGTTAAAAAAACCCTCACCCCCAATTTAAACAGATCTGATTTGGCAATCCCAGGAAAAGCAAGGCAGGTTGACCCATGGAAAATGTCAGGACAAAGGGAAGGGACAGGTTGATCAACCCCAGCTGGCACTGTGTAAGGACAGGGACAAATGACAAACAAGAGCTGAGTGTGTGAGGGAGGAGGCACTGACTGGCTAATGAGGGCTGGCTATTGCAGGGATGGGGGAACAGGCAGACCAATCAGAGCCTGTGATGCTGTAGAGGATGTGCAAACCAAAGCCTAAAGTTAACCAATTAAAAAAAAGAGAAAAGGCAGCCCACCAAAGCAGCAGATTTCCAAGAAAATTGAAGTGGTTGAGCAAAGAAGACCCAACCTTTGTTTTAAAAGCCAAAAACCCCAAACTCTAATGAAAGATAAAATAACTGATACGAGTTCAGGTCAATGGGATTTAGGTGTCTAAATGTTTTAAGCTCTTTTGCTAATTTGAAGGGAACATCTCCAGCCCTGGCCCTAAGTCTCCACTCCTGTTGCGTTGCAGAATGACATCTATGAGTGGGTCCGGGACCACCGCGTCCATCACAAGTTCTCCGAGACAGATGCAGACCCACACAATGCCATGCGGGGCTTCTTCTTCTCCCACATCGGCTGGCTGCTGGTGCGCAAGCACCCAGATGTCATAGAGAAGGGCCAGAAGCTGGACCTGAGCGATGTAAAGGCTGACAAAGTGGTGATGTTCCAGCGGAGGTGAGTGGTGGCGTCAGCCCCAGCACAGAGCCATGCGGGATGGAGCACGGGACCCCGCAAATGGGCTGGGGACCCAAAGTACCTTTGATGGAGCATGAGGGGATTGAGGGCATCACATGAGAAATGGGAGTCTTCGATCTGCTCGAGGCTTTGCTGTGGGATGAACTGTGAGAAATGAGCTGTGCCTGTCCTACAGGAACTATTTAAAAGCTAGTGCTACCTCCAGCCCTCCTGCACTCCTTTCTTGCCTGCCTACCCTGTAGCATCTTGCAAGCAGTGGGCTGAGCTTCCTACCGCAAGGCACCTCCACACCTGTCTTCACACAGCCCAGATGCTGCTTTGGTTGGCCCAGAGCCCACCTGTGGGTGCCTCCAGGACATCCTTGGAGATGTTGTAGTACACCTTCCAGGCCATGCTTCTGCTCCTCTCCCATCAGTGTCCTGGAAACAGTGTGGTGAAAGAAGAGAGGAAAATGGGGACATGAGAGAGGCAGTAACTGGGAAAGACAGTCTTGATTCACTGGTGCCTCTTGGATGGGGTATCTCTCTGCTGTCTGGGGCTATACTGGGACTGATCCCCAGAGGAGGCAAGCCTGTCACCAGAGCTGTAGGGAGGGGGGACTGAACCCCCATAGTAACCACTCTCACTCAGGAGGTCCCTAGTTCAGTCCCAGATGAACAAAGCAAAGTTTATGGCTTCGCTCCTTTTTGTGCCTGGGATTTTTCTTGTGGGTCATCAGAGTGGTTCAGCTTCCTCTACTCCCATCCCTCTAGTGTGAGAGACCCCACATGCTCATCTGTTTGATGGCACAAATGGCCCTTGCTTGCTCTTGTTAGTGGGATCTATTGGTAGGCAGAGCCAAGTCTGCAAGGAGGAGTTGCAGCACTAGGCCAAGGCTGGAGAATGGACCTTCTGTGGGACTCTGCAAGCATGGGGTTGGCTTTATGGGGACCCACATAGCTGAGAAGCAAATGGCAGAGGAGGCCAAAAGCAGCAGCTGGTGTCTGGACTCATGACAATGGGGACATTGCTTTGTGCTCATGTGAGATTGAGACAGGGAGAGCAGGACTTTAGTTGAATCTCCTGCCCGATGACGAGACTTGAGAGTCTCCAGGGATGGCTTCTGTGCATCTAGGGCAAAAGATGCAGGGCTCAGGGTGAGGTATTTCTGCACTTGGATTTTTCCCTGTATAGTTGAGTGTGAATCCTCCAAAGGGAGGACTGAACCAGCCCTTCCTGTCCTGCCTCTGCCACTGAGCTCTTTCCTCCTGATCCCTTCCTTTCCAGATACTACAAGCCCTCAGTGGTGTTGCTGTGCTTCACGCTGCCCACTGTAGTGCCCTGGTACTTCTGGGATGAATCCATCATCATCAGCTTCTTCATTCCAACCATCCTGCGCTATGCCATAGGGCTCAATGCCACTTGGCTAGTGAACAGTGCTGCTCACATGTTTGGCAACCGGCCGTATGATCAGCGCATCAACCCACGGGAGAACCCACTGGTCAGCCTGGGGGCCCTAGGTACGTTCAGCATCCGTATCTTTTGCTGCAGGTAGACTGTAGAGCAGGGAATGCCCCTTGGGGCTGCAGCTGCTTCTAGGAATTTCTGTGAATCCAGGTGTCCCCATTTCCCCCCTGCACCCTTCCACTCCAGCCTTTGCATCTGGGGGTGTTTCCAAAGCTGGCCAGTGAGTACATAAAGGCAGTGGGGTTCTCAGCTCCCACCAGCCTCTCCTCAGGCTGGAAAGAACTCTGCTACATTTACCACCTCCTAATCTCAATAGCAATATTTTATTGACCTTGCTTGAAGATCTCTGTGCCCCATTCACCAGCCTGAAAAATGTGTGCAGCAGTCTCTGCTTGTCTGAGATTTGTCATCTTGAAAACCAGCAGATGCACATTTGGATGTGTTCTCAGGGCAGCTGGTGATTTTGGGTGTACTTGAGGATGAGACAAGCCAGATCATCTCATGCGTTTTCCTGAAATTTTGGGGACCTAGGAAAGTACACCTCAGGATCAGCATTTGCCCTGATCTGTTCTCCCACGCCCAAATCCTCAGATGGTTTGCATCACTGTAGGTTACTGGGCCTGCACTGATTTCCATCACCGAAGGATCTGCCCCTGGATTTTTAGTAGGGAGGGATTTGAACTGCAGGGATTTGAACTACAGGGACTCAGGGGGATAGGAGCAGGAGTCTAGGCAATGTCATTGAAAGGATGAGCACTGACGCCAGCATAGACAGTGTCCAGAGCAGAGGGTAGCTGACTGGGGTAGATCACTTAGTAGAAGTCTGTCTGCATTATTCCCATCTGGAAATGCCCTTTGGATTTGGCATTAGGGCTGCCAGTGTTGTAGGAGTATTGATTGGCCTGGCTTGTTGGGCACTTGCTGCAGGTCTAGCTGGTAGCTCAACCAATACTAGAAGGTTTCTCATGGCGACAGAGGAAAAGCCATTAGGATTCCCCTGGTGTTTTGGTGCAGTCAGTGAGCCAGGGCTTTTCTCAGTTCCTTGCCACATGCTTGTTTTCCTCTAAAGCACCATGGGTCCTCTGTGACTGTCATTGCCTCATTTGGGCCAACCCAAGCATGCTGGACCATGCCGAAATGAAATGGGGTAGACTGTAGAGAGGTGAAATTGGGCTGAGAGGAGAGAGCAACCTAGACTAAATCCAGAGCCTGTTTCAGGAATGTGGTGGTTTGAGCCAAGATGAAGGGGCCATCACCTAGAGTTCTGCAACATCATCTGCCTGGTTGTGTTTTGCAGGAGAAGGCTTCCACAACTACCACCACACCTTCCCCTATGACTATTCCACCAGTGAGTTTGGCTGGCGCTTCAACTTAACCACAGCCTTCATCGACCTCATGTGCCTCCTGGGGCTGGCCAGCGATCGCAAGAAGGTCTCCAAGGAGGTCATCCTGGCTCGGAAAATGAGGACTGGAGATGGGAGTCACAAGAGTGGCTGAGTTTCTGCTGCCCTTCACACACACATCCACACCTCTCCTTCCTCCTTTTTTCTCCCTTTCTCCCTTCCTGACCCCTCTAAACACGCTGGACAAAGGTTTAATGTTCTGTTTACTAACTACTGAATAATGCTACCAGTTTGCTTAAGATAATGAGTTTTAACCCCCCACACACACTGTATTTTACGTGATGTATTTTAAGATCTAGGACTCTGCCTTTATAATGCAAGGCCACCCCTTTCCCTCTTCTCCTTTTCCTTTCTGTTCTTTCTCTCCAGTCCCTTTACCCATCTCCCGCTTTACGTCGTCCCAGTCTCTCCCTGGCAGAGGAGCTGGTAGGAAGCAGCCCGGGGAGGCCCATCACAGCCAGCTACGTACCATGGAGTTAAGGCAAGCCTGTACCAGCCAGCTGAAGATTTGAGCCAAAGTTAGTGACCCTCTCCCCACCACCTTTCCCCCAAAATTCCTTCCTCTGTCCCTCCTCCTTTCTTAAGAGCTGCTGACAGACGTAGCATGGCTAAACTGCTCTCCCTGGGAAAAGCAGCCCCATCCCTTTCCCTTGCCATTGGAAAGAGAGTTGTCTCTTGGAAAGTGTTCTGTCCCCCTCCCCACCACACAGCCTCTCTGGCTGGGGAGAGGAGAGCCCCCAGACTCTCTCAGAGCTCCAGCCAGCTCCAGCAGTGGCTGGGGGGGTCTGGTGGCATCAGCAGACCTGGAGGAAGGAGCCTTGGTGGCCTTATTACCTCCTCCCTTTGGTGTCACACCTCGCTCCTTGCACTGCCCCGTGCCATCAGGGACTGAAGGCAGAGCAGGCTCTGCAGCCCCTTTGGAGAACCACAGCGAGGAGTGGGACAGATGAGGTACCAGCCTGGGGTGGTTTTGTTCGCCACTGCCACTCAGATTTTTGCCGGCAAATGGGACTTTACCAAAATGGAGAGGGAGAGAAGGATGTAAACCAAAGCTCCACAGCTGAGTTAAGATGCTTTATGTGCTGGAGGAATAGGGTCCCTGCTGGGTGGCAGGCAGATGTCCTGGTGCCTGTGCCTGCCCTGCAGATCTGCATCCTGTGCTGAGAGCAGGGACAGGGCGAGGGAGCACCTGCAGGTGTAGGGAGGGGTGAGAGTGTCTGTGGGAGCACATCTCTCCATCCTCCGGGGCTCCACTTGGTTGATAAGTGCCTGAGAAACACCCATACAGGGCCAGGCGGCACGGGGGGCTCGAGGCAATCAAGACCTCCAAGGCGAGACACTGCCGCCGGTGTGGGCCACCTCCAGGCTTTCCTGACCAGCGTCCACCTGGGTGGTTTGCCATTCTCTGCTCCTCTGAGGGAGCAGGAAAGGGAGGCAAAAGCAGCTCCTCGTTAGTCCCTTAGCTTGCCTCCCAGCCCCCTTGGCAAGCCATCTCACCACCTCACTACTTCGCTGGCGAGGCAGGCAGCGAGCGCGGCTGAGCCTGTGGAAAGGACAGTTATATCACTGAGCCAATGTGGGCATGCAGCTGGAGGGTATGCTTGGGGAAAAACATGCTTGTGAGTGTTGTTTCCTGCAGGTTGCAGAGACCGCAGCTTGAGTTCAGGTGGTGGGTTAGATTCTGGGTGTTGTGGCCCTGAGCCCTTCACTGGGCTGAATGTGCTTTTTTTCTCCCCCCTTAACTCTCCCCATTATTGTTAATTTTTATTATTATTAGTTGTAGCAATAGTATTGGTTTTGTTGCTTAAATGCATCAAATGGAGCTGGAGGAAAGCAGAAGAGGTGGCCAGAACGAGGTGATACTGGAGTGGGGTTTGCAGCGTCTCCCTTATTCAGGCAGGCCAGGGAGGGCAGAGATGGAGCAGATGCCAACTTCCTCGTCTCAGCCCTGCAACATAGCCAGGCAAGCTTCATGGGGGCGAGCCTCTTCAGCTTTGCTTTCTCCTGCTGCTGTGAAACTCGCCAGGAGCCGGGACATCTACGTGATGTTCTCCTTAATGCTTGTTACTTGTAAAGGAAGTCCTCTTCTCCTTCCCCCTCCCTGCCCCCACCACGGCCTTGTTGTTGCTCAGCAATGGGACACTTCGAGGTTTTGAGCTGTCAAGAGTGATGTGGTCTCCAACCAAGAGGTACAACAGGGAGGAATGAGGCAGGGAGCCCTTCAGCTGCTGGTATCAGGAGACAGCATCCTTACTCCTCTGAGGCTCGTGACTGCCTGGGGGCTGGCTGGGGCAAAGGGGGTTGTGGCTAGAATTGTATTCTACCATTTTAGAAAAAAAAAAAAAGAAAAAGCCCTCCAAAAAAAGAGAAACACTGTTAGCTCTGGAATTGCAAGCTGACTTCGCTCTAGTCTAAACCCCTCTGAACTCATAGAAGTTGCTGGAGAGGAGGAATTTGCTCCAGTTAGTAATTTGAAAGGGGTGTGGGGTGGGGAGAAGGTGAGGAGAATTATTTCCTTGCTCCTGGTGCCCTTAAGGTGTTGCGTGACATACCCTACAGTAGAGAAGCATGCTATGACATGCTGCAATATTTCACATCCTCTCAGCAGAGAAGCAGGGTTTGACATCAAGGGTTCCTTCAAATTTCAAGTGCTGATTCAGGTCCAGAATCTGGAATTAGAGTGGAAGCTGAGGAGCAGTAACCAAACAGTCCTGGTGTTTGCCCAGTCACTTTAAAGGTAGATTGGCAAATATCTCTGGGTGCCTTAAATCTTTCTTTAATATACATAGGAGTATTGACAGCTATTTGCCGTAATTTTTTTTGTATTTTTTTTCTGAATTACGGACATTCGAGGGGTTTCTTAATTATTTAATTGCCTACATTGAACTGGGTGCAGGTGATTTTGAATGTACTTGAGTTAGAATTTTTGTTAGATTAAGAAACAGATACAACACTTTAAGTAGAGCTTTGTTTGACATATATATATATATATATACCTATATATATTTTTTTTGGTGGCATGTTTGTATCCTGGCCGCGTCATTTGTATGTTTAGCTTAAATGAGTCTGTGAGAGGTGGAAACAGAGAAGGCAGCAGTGGGACCTGTTCTCCTGGGACCTGTTCCCAGCTTAGCTACTCACTAACTGCATGATTTGGGACAAAGTCACTTAAAAACTCTCTGTGCCTCAGTTTCCCTATCTGTAACAGGAGGTTACACCCTGCCTCCCAGAGGTGTGGTGAAGCTCGCTGCCGACCAGCCAAGAATGGAGGAGGGAGGCATACGTACCACACACACACCACTGCTGGCAGAAGCATGGACTGGTTTGTTTTCCAAAACCATCCCCAGCCCCGCTGGTATTGTGAAGAGCAGATGTCCAAGTGTTGGGTGTTCTGGGAAGGATTGGAAAGTTGAATCTGCACATTGTCTAAGCTCTGTCACTGTTGAAATGTGAGCAGGATATGATTTTTCACAGCTTAGGGATTTCTGCATAGTAGTATCTCTGTTTTGTGTACTGGAAAAGAAAAAAAAAAACCAACTTTTGGAAATAATTTCTACTAATTTGGAAACAAGACATCTGGTTGTGCTGATCTGAAATTTTATTTGTTCATAATAAAAATGTTACTTTAAAACTTGTTGGACTGATGACATGGCAGGCTGTGCTCGGTGAAGCACACAATGCCCCATCGGGATGGAGAATGCTATGCATTACCCTTTCCAAACCCTCCTCCCTTCCAGGAGAACTAGGGAAAAAAATCTGGCTCTTTAAGCGCTCTGAATGAGCGGATTATAATGGCTTTCATACTCCAGTGCAGCCTGGGCCGGCATGCCCGGCCAAGGCTGCCCCTGTGCCGTGGGGTTACTGCAGGTTAATTCCAGCCAGGGCTTCTTGCCAGAGCTTTGCGGCTGACAGATACACATGCAGCATAACACGTAATACCAGCAGCCTGTCTCCCTGGCCAGGCACGGCCACCACTGCATCAGGCGGGTTCATTAACCTCAGCAAGGGAATTTTCCTCCTGCAAGAGCTAGCATCCCTGCTCTCCCCACCCCTTTCTCAGCTAGAGGGAAGCAAAAGGAGAAGGGGGAAATCCCTGGACCAAATCTCACTTTAATTCATGTTAGCTTCCCCTCTCCCCGACACAGCCACCTCTCGAACATCTGATTTTAGCAGCAAATGAGGCCGTCTCTGCGTGGCATCAGCTTGCTCCATGTGGGAACAGGCAGAGGGGATGGCCTTGTTTGCAGCAACTTTACCATCTGCAGCACCCGGGGATCCCCAATCCAGCCCATGTTTGCTGGCGCTGCTGGCCCCTTGCAGCCGGCATGCCGAATTCCTCAGCAAAACTGGCCCACACTTTGGTTTCCAGCTGCAGCTGCCAGAAAGCCCTTTGGGTAGGAACACCAGAGCCAGCACATTGCAAACAGGACCACAGGGGAGAGCACAGGAGCCAGGGAGGGAGAAGAGATTTATTTGGGAGGAAGGTTTGGGCTCTTCCAGCAGCCACATTCTCCCAGTTGGACGTGTGTGACCAGCCCAGGCAATGTGATGGGTGGCTGGCCTGAGCTATGGAAAAAGGCAAACGAAATGCTCTGGCTCATCAGCTGGTCACAGTAGTACATCCCTGGAAGTGACAGAGAGGTGCTGCTTCTGACAATCTAATGTGCTTTTGATCCCAGCTATGTCAGCACAGCCCCTCCTAAAACAAGTGAAACAGAGAAGGCAAATCTTCAACCCTCCTGATTATTCAGCCAAGCCTAAAAATAAAGTTAATGATCACTCTGTCTGGGTTTCATGAGAGTGGAACTCAGATCTCGGCCTCTCCCTCTTTGTTAAAGGCTGTTATTAAATCCCCTGCCCAAAATACATTTTCCTATACTATCAAGCCCTTCAGCAGTGCCAGCTCAGCATTTTGAGCTTGTTGCCTGGAAGTGTTTAATGCATGGTTATTATTCCTGGTTTCCTATGTAATCCATGAATTTGGGTTGCAATTCCAATGTACGCCAACTTTTGTTTCTCTGAAGATCTCCCACCCACCAGGAAAGGGAAGGGTTAACGTGGCAGCCAGCTCTGCTGGGTAGGAGAGGACAGGGAAACAAGTGGTTGCTTGTTCAGACCCAGCCTCAGGAGCACAGGGAGGGCTGCGGGCTGGCCTCGCTGGCTGTCAGCAGCCAGGTGAAGGGTTTGCGGCATCCTCTTACTCTGGACACAACATACAGGAGATGCCAGTGTGGTCTTTTGGGGGGCAGGGGGGGACTGGGTTCCAGCTGCAACCCCCTTCCCAGAGCTGGGATGCAGTGACCACAGCTGTGAGCAGCCCAGTGTACCCAGCCCAGGACCCTCGGAGCAGGA